GGGGGATATTGGGGAAAACTCCCTGCAGAAAATGCAAAATGATTGAGCCCAAATCAGAGAGAATTCAGCCCAAATCACGGGGAATTCAGCACAAATCGGGGGAACTCAGCCCAAATTGGAGAGAATTCAGCCCAAATCACAGGGAATTCAGAACAAATCAGAGGGGATTCAGCCCAAATCACAGGGAATTCAGCACAAATCAGGGGGAATTCAGCCCAAATAGGGGGAAATTCAGCCCAAATCAGGGGGAATTCAGCCCAGATCAGAGGGAATTCAGCCCAAATCAGAGGGAATTCAGCCCAAATCAGAGGGAATTCAGCCCAATTCATGGAATTCAGCCCAAATCGGGGGAATTGAGCCCAAATCAGGGGGAATTCAGCACAAATCAGAGGGAATTCAGCACAAATTAGAGGGGATTCAGCCCAAATAGGGGGAAATTCAGCCCAAATCACGAAATTCAGCCCAATTCAGCCATCCCAGCAGGGAGCAGTGGCTCTCAGCTCCCYGAGCATTGTCTGGCATCTCTCAGTCACTTTGCTTTGGCACARGGGAAGCTTTGGTCCGTCGGTACCAACACATTTCCTGGCTTTGCCCTGCAGTCTGTAGCCAGCCAATATTCCCAAAGTCAGTGTTTTATCCAAACTTGGTTGTGATCAGCCAGGATCTTCGGGAATCTGAGCATCAGTAAAAAGCGCTGCCCCCGCTTCGTTTTTAAATGTGCTTTAGCATATCAAGACTTTGCTTGATCCTCTGAGTTAATAATTCTTCACAAAGTGACTTTTATTATGAGCACTTGAAGCGAGTTTGAATATGTCATTGTGGCAGGAGATGAAGATTTGAAACATGCTCTGCAGTCTGTGGGATTAATAAATTAGGGGAATGGTCTAATTATGGGAAATCTAAAGGACAATTTCAGATTATTAATGAAACTACTGAATACTTGAATTTCAAAGATTAATTCATCTTTGATTTTTTTTAAAAGATTAATCTGTACCAGAAGGTTAATTGCTATCTGTAAGAAATATATATATTGAAGTCGTTAGCAAAAGACCACTTGAATGCCTCCTAACAGATAAATGAAAGATCTGGAGTGCATTTATGAACGTTCTGCTCTCCCCAAATGGCCCATTTGCACGGCTGAGTTCTCTGCTGTGCTGCTGGGGGGGGTATGTGATGTTCCCTCCTTGGTGGGGCTGCGGTTCCTGGGGTGGGGAGGGGGCTGGGGCTGTAGGGTCGGTATGTGGGGCAGCTCTGGGATTGAATCTGGATCTGTAGGGTCGGTGTGTGGGCAGCTCTGGGGCTGAATCTGGATCTGTAGGGTCGGTGTGTGGGGCAGCATTGGGACTGAATCTGGATCTGTAGGGTCGGTGTGTGCCTCCCCAGCTGCTCTGGAGCTAAACCCTGGCTCTGTAGGTTCGGTGTCTGCCCCCATAGCTGAACCCCAGCTTTGCAGGGTCAGTGTGTGCCCCAAGGGCAGCTCTGGGACTGAATCTGGATCTGTAGGGTCTGTGTGTGCCCCAAGGGCAGCTCTAGGACTGAACCCCAGCTCTGCAGGGTCTGTGTGTGCCCCCCCAGCTGCTCTGGAGCTAAACCCCGGCTCTGTAGGGTCTGTGTGTGCCCCAAAGGCTGTTCTGGGGCCAATCCCCAGCTCTTTAGGGTCGATCTGTGCCCCCAGCCCTGCTCTGGGCCCAAACCCCAGCTCTGTAGGGTCGGTGTCTGGGCAGCTCTGGGACTGCACCCAGCTCTTTAGGGTCAGTGTGTGGGCAGCTCTGGGGCCAAACCCCGGCTCTGTAGGGTCAGTCTGTGCCCCCAGCCCTGCTCTGGACCCAAACCCCAGCTCTGTAGGGTCGGTGTGTGGGCAGCTCTGGGGCTGAATCTGGATCTGTAGGGTCAGTGTGTGGGCAGCTCTGTTGCAGGAACGCACTGGAGGGATTTTGCGGTGTCTGGGCAGGGCCAGGGCTGGATTTTCATTCCCGTGGGTCCCTCCAGCTCAGGACATTCCATGGTTCTGTCTCTCCACCAGGAGCAGAGGAGCCGCTGTGTTTTGTGCTGCTCACAATCCGTGCATTAAACACCATCCTCTCCAAATTCATTGGTTCTGTACAAATT